CCAATTCCCTCATGTAATTTTGCGTACAAATAATCTCCTTTTCCCCCGTACTTGAATAAACAGTAGCTAAAACTAAAATAGAGATCTCCTTGGTCTCCTCCTCTGAGTGCCCCTCGGTCTTCAGAAAGTGTAGAAGGAAAAGAAAAGAATATAGAATAAAGGAGTCAGAACTGAAAGAAGTCAGAATTGAAAGGTGTGCTTTTTGGGAGTGTCACAGCTCTCTATTTATAGGCATCAAGCGTCACCGGAAAAGCCCATTTCAAATCTGGAATGACCCATTCTGGACTCTGACGGCATGTGTAAAATTCACATCCAGAACGGCCCGTTCTCAAACCAGAACGGCCCGTTCTAGGGTTGCATTTAACCCATAACGTTCATATTTGGAATGACTTGTTCTTAAACCAGAACGACCTATTCCCAACTAGGGTTACAAGCCTTTTTCGTAGTTTGGAAGGCCCCGTTCCAATTCGGGAACGCCCCGTTCCCAACTAAGATTTGTAGGCAACTTTAGTATTTTGGAACGGCCCGTTCCAATCTAGGAACGACCCGTTCTAAGATACTAAATCACCCTCGTTTTAGTAGTTTGGAACGGCCCGTTCTAGGCTACTAAATCACCCCTATTGGGCTTTGGGCCCTCGTATAATCTGTGAAAATCAGGCTGTTACAATTACAAGAGAGAATAGGTAGTGAAAGAAATCCCTAAATTCTTAAGATTCTTCCATTTCTTTTCTGAAGCTGAAATTGATTATCCAATTAGATTCGGAGAAGTGATGAATGTTCTTCTCCTTAGCTCCTCCTAGCCACGGATCCACTTCAAGGAGATAACGCCAAATGAAATAGAACTTGATTGTTGAAGAAACACGGATGGATGAAGGCTCAAGCCTTGGATGGAAGCATCCAAGCTCAAAGATCAATGGAAGACTCACTTCAAAGAGAAGGAAGAAGATGAACTCCCTAGGTTTTTGAGGTGAATTCTCAAGAAGACTTTGAAGAGGAAATTCGGCTCTTGGCTCTCAAATTTCATATAAATCAAAATAGTAAAACTCTCAATTTTTCCAAAATCTAACTCAGAGGCACTTTTCTACAATTTCATTCTCTCTCCTAAATCATCATTTTCAAAAATTAAATATATATTTCTAATCCTCAATACATGTAAAATCTAATGGGATCATCAATTCCTTAAACAGAAAAAATTATAAATTACCTTCCAAAACCTAACTCACAGGCACTTTTCTACAATTTCGTTCTCTCTCCCAGATCATCATCCTTACAAATTAATTATATATTTCTTATCCTCAACACATACAGAATCTCATAAGACCAATAATTCTCCAAACATAAATAATTATAAAATTACTCATAATCTTACGAGCTTCCTCTTCTACCCAATTCCCTCATGTAATTTTGCGTACAAATAATCTCCTTTTCCCCCGTACTTGAATAAACAGTAGCTAAAACTAAAATAGAGATCTCCTTGGTCTCCTCCTCTGAGTGCCCCTCGGTCTTCAGAAAGTGTAGAAGGAAAAGAAAAGAATATAGAATAAAGGAGTCAGAACTGAAAGAAGTCAATTTCATCATCTACTTTGTTAAAAATTCTAAAAACCGCAAGACTATAACCAATGTTGGTAGCTTGACCCCAGTTCACTAAAACAGTCATATCTAGAGTTATAAACCTCCTTTTTGGGTGATTCCAACGCCATTGGAAAGATAACATCCAAGGATACAACTTTCATGAAGACTTCAAGACCAACATACTCACGGCCGGAACACTAATATCCCGCCCGCCGCAAACTCAAACAGAGACCTACAGAGGTCATTGCGCCCAGCTCAATATTCAGTAACCAAATTGTGCCCGGCGTGACTAACCTTGCGCCCAGCATGATTTGGCAATGATGGTCTCTGATGAATTCACACCCGGCGCCAAGAAATGCGCTCGGCGCGTTTACAACTAGAAACCCTCGAAAAATCTTGAAAATTCCTTCCAATCATGAATCCAATCCAAATTACATGAGTTTGAGCCATTATAAAGCATAAACAATATCCAAAAACAATATTTTAAGCAATAAAATCAAGTATTAACTATTAATCCATGGAAATCATGAAGAAATCATGAAGAACCCTAACCAAACCCTCTCCAGCTCAATCCAGCCTCAATCATGCATAAAACATGGAATCAATGTGATATTTCAACTCCATACATACTAGATTAAGTCTTATAAGTACTACCCTTACCTCAGAAACTTCAGAAATGCAAGATTTGAACAAAACCCTCAAATTCCCAATTCAAACTTCAATCTCACTTTTCAAGGCTTTAAAGGTTGAATCTCTTGAAACTCTAGTTGTGAAGATTGATCCTGGCTTGATAAGCTTCCTAAATGTGTCCTCAGCTTCCCTCCAGACCAGAGCCCCTCTCTCTACTTTCTCTCTCTAGAACTGTCCCTGTCTGACAAATGAGACCCTCCGGTCCTAAGTCCCTATATATAGCCATTTTCTGAAATTTCCAAATTTCACCCTTAGTAACTATTCACCTTAAATATCCTATTCCTTGAAGTATTTCAACTCCCTAAGCTCTAAAACAACCTCAAATTCACTCAGAAAGACCGGATTTATCTTATGTTCCTATCCTTCAATCTCCTACCCATCCTATTGCTTTCCATGCAATACTCACAACTCACCACCATATGAAATGCAACATGTATCAAAACACAAACAAACATCACTTTCAGATACATATGCTTGGAATAATGAGTTGCATGCCATAATACTTCACTTAACCAAGATGAGAAGGAAGGTGATCAGTCTTCTTCCCTCTTAGTACCAATTCAGTATAATGGTGTACCATGCATCATTCACCAAATTCATGCACACACATGCCTATATAAACATCTCAAAACATCAACCTTTCATCTCATACTACAAAATCACTACTATGTTTAAACAACTAATCAAAACCACATCAACATACAACATGCACAAAGGTAAGTACATTTGAAATCCACATCTCCATAATCCAATCCAAATCCATATAAACAACATATACATACATGCATACATACATACATATATATATATATAGAGTATATCTACCAAATAGCTTGGTATTTCCATGGCGTTACAATAGGGACCCAATATCTTTGTCGCCGTCACCTGACAAACTCTAAGGTCTATAGCAGTATTTCAGGCTAGAGTAACCGGTTATCACCTTGAGTGTGATTTCTAACAAGGCTCGCAAGCTCAAGGGCCAAACTTGGGCCGGTCGTACGTCAACCACTCCCTATGTTTAATACCCTCATGCCCCCGGGTGTAGGGGGACTATTGTGTGCAAAGGTTTGTGTACAATTTTTTATTCAAACAGATGCAGAATTTGAACAGGCAAGCAGATGTTAAAGCCATACAAGTAAAATAAACAAGTGAAGGGGAGAAGATATTTAAAATATAAATGTTATTATGCTAATTCCATCATTTATACGGGTCTGATTCTCTTTAAACTTCCCTAGTGGAGTCTCCATCTATTGCAACCCAAAAATTTCCGATCTTGCGACCTGTGGTTTAGACATCCTTTCGAAAATCTCATCAACTAAGGAATGCCCGGACACCAGACTAATCCTTAACTAATGGTTTTGAAAAATAGGCTCATGGAGTTGCCACCAATGTTTTACTCAAAACATTGGGAAAAAAAAGGTTTTTAAAGATCCAATAATGGCCTTGATAACCAAAATTGGGTTCCGGGTTCGGAGGTCGATTACGTGTAGGGAAGGTATTAAGCACCCCTACAACGCCCTTAATCGGTACCCTTATGATGAGGTTAGCATAGTAAGAATTAATAATTTAAATATTTAATTCCCTTTATGAAATTCTATTGACATGCTTGAAATTTAAATTACATGGTTAATCCTAAAACGTCTACATGATTGCTCTTATTATAACAATATTTGAAATAAGGGAATAGAGAAAAGAAGAGAGAATCGACTGAAATACCTCTTAAACGAGCTCTATTGAATCTTCAAATATGGAGATCTTTAGGTGCTTTGTGGCAACCTTTCACACTACAATATGCCTCACAAATCTTAAGAAATACAATAGGAAGGAGAAAGAGGGAATTTTCGAGCTCAAAGGAGTCTTATACGAAATTTCCCAGGTTGGAGAACAGTGCCCGAGTTGTCTATTTATAGACGTCAAAACTGACCAGAACGGCCCGTTTTGAATTTGGAACGGCCCGTTCTAGGCCAGTCCGTTATGGGTAAAATATGAATTTGGAACGACCCGTTTTGGGTTCGAATATTACTCATAACAACTTGTGTTAGAATAGCCCGTTCCAAACTAGGATTTTAGGCCTTTTTAATAACTTGGAATGGCCCGTTCCAGTTTATGAATGTCTCGTTCTGAGTTGGGAATGACCCATTCCAGTTTAGGAACAGCCCGTGCCGAGTTGGGAACGGCCCATTCTGGTTTTGCAACAGCCCATTCTGGGCTACTAAAATCAGCTTATTTCGGCTTCAAGCTTCCTTGGTGTTGCCTCCATACTTTGGGAGCTCCTCCTCTTCATAGTAGACGTCTATTTCATTACTTTTGTTGGTCTAGACGAAATTGGGTGTCTACATTGTGCAGCAAACCATTGATAAGGTTAAAATGATACAAGAGAGAATGAGGAAAACTTAGAGTAGATAGAAAAGTTATGCTAACAAAAAGAGGAAGGACTTGGAATTTCAAGAGGGTGATCATGTATTCTTGAAAGTCACTCCGTGGACTAGGGTTGGCAAAGCATTGAAATCTAGAAAACTTACTTCTTGGTTTATTGGTCCTTTTCAAATCCTTAAAATAGTCACTAGCATTGCCTACCAAGTTGCTTTACCTCCAAATCTGTCAAACCTTCGTAATGTCTTCCACATTTCTCAACTCTAAAAGTACATTCTTAATCCTTCGCCTGTAATTGAGTTGGATCATCTCGAGGTTAAGGACAACCTGATAGTGGAGACTACTCCGTGAGAGTTGAGGATCGAATGGTGAAGCAGCTCAAAGGTAAGGAAATACCTTTGGTTGAGCTAATTTGGGGAGGAGCTACACCTAAAAGTGCTACATGGGAGCTAGAGGAGAAGATAAAGGATTCATATCTGGACCTCTTTGTTCAGGTAAATTCGAGGACAAATTTCTTAAAAGGGTGGGGGAAATTGTAACACCTTGTTTTAAGAAATTAATATTTTATTAATATTATTATATTTTTATTATATCTCACTACAAAAAATATGTAATTTAGCGACCGAATTAGTGACCAAATTAGCGACCGAATTTAATCAGTCGCTAAAACCCTGGTCGCTAAGCTATTTAGCAACGGAAAAATTTTCGGTCGCTAGTTAGCGATCGAAAATTTCGATCGCTAAATGGTTGAAATGATTTTGGTCGCTGAAGTGTATGAGACCAAATTAGTGACCGAATAAATCGGTCGCTAAATATTTATTTTTTATTTTATTAAATTTTATAGACATCGCAAATTTGGTCGCTATGAACCACTCATATTTGGCCTCTTAAGAATTTTATTTCACAATACTTAAGTTTTTAGCATGTTTTGTCCTTAATTACACAATTTTTGAAAACTTCCAAGAAGGTCACCCATACCTATATTACTCCAAGTCAAGCACGCTTAACTGTGAAGTTCTTATGAGATAAGCTATCGAAAAGCAAATGTACTAAGTATTACACCGCTCAATAAATTTATATTAAATGTGAATTTTGTAAATCCAACCGATAGATTGAAAGTTCATATCACTTTATATGTTTATATCAATTTTTGTTAAAATTGAACAACAACTTAAAAGTAATCAAAGTGCTCATATTTTATTTGAAATGTATATATTACGTCAATTTTGTTTTACAAGAATGAAGTATCAAATCATCTTGAATTCATATAATATTTTGTATATATGATCTAAGAGTAAAACGGTTGAATTTATAAAATTCACATTTAATATAAAGTTATTGAACAATGTAATACTTAATAAAAGTTACACTGATGTTATTATAACCCTTCTCTTTTAAAATATTATTTTTATGAACTAAATTTTAACATTTTAAATAAATTATTAATTAACCTAATATATTTATTCATCTTAAATCTTAGATATAAAATTCAAAAAATGTATTTATCCTTATTTTATTTTCTAATTATCAATCATTAATAAAATACTAATTTAAAATCATATCTAGTTATATCATAATATTTTCATATCAAGTTTAAAATCAGATATTAGTTATACAAAAATATTAAAATCATATAGTAAATTATTAATAAGATTCTAGTTAAAAATTTAAAATAATTTAAAATAATCAATTTTATCACACAACAATAAAGAAATATTAATCGTTAATAAAATATATTTGTACTCTTCCTATTAGAAAAAGAGAGGATGCTATAATTCTTTTTTAAGATATCACATCTCTTCTATCAATAAAATTTAAATATAAAAATTTATTTAAAAATAAAGTTATCATAAGTTAGAAATATATATTATAAATATGGATCAAAATAAATAAGAAATTTAAAAATTCATATACTCTAATTAAAAAACTGCCTAAAAATCCAATCGTAAAAAGAAAATCTCTAAATATTTTTTCACATAAATAACTATTGGTATTAATTATGTAGGAGTGCATATAAATATTTTTTTATTATAAATTAATGTCTTGCTCTTACAAAAAAAAAGAAAATGGGATTCATACTCAACAACAATATTATCATCACTTTTAAGCAATTTATAAATTTTTTTAAGTTTTACTTAGTGACCGAATAGAATTTTGTCGCTAATTTTGACTAATATTTAGCGACCGAATAGAATTCTGTTGCTAATTTTCACTAATATTTAACGATTGAATAGAATTACATCGCTATTTGTAACTAATATTTAGCGATCGAATTTAATTCTGTCGCTAAAAAAATCAAAATTTCTGATTTAGAGACCAATTCAATTCCGTCACTAATTTTAACTAATATTTATCGACCGAATTTAATTCCGTCGCTACAAAAATCAAAATTTATGATTTAGCGACCGAATTAAATTCTGTCGCTAAATATTAGCTATATTTAGCGGTCAAATTTAATTCGGTCGCTAAATTTAACTAATATTTATCGAACGAATTCAATTCCGTCGCTAAATTTAACTACTATTTAGCGACCGAATTCAATTCCGTCACTAATTTTAACTAATATTTAGCGACCGAATTAAATTCTATCGCTACAAAAAATCAAAATTTATAATTTAGCGACCGAAGTAGCGACTAAATTCAATTCCGTCACTAAATTTAACTACTATTTAGCGACCGAATTCAATTTCGTCGCTAATTTTAACTACTATTTAGCGACCAAATTAAATTCTGTTGCTAAAAAATCAAAATTTATAATTTAGAGACCGAAATAGCGACCGAATTCAATTATATCGCTAAATTTAACTACTATTTAGCGACCGAATTCAATTCCTCACTAATTTTAACTAATATTTAGCGATCGAATTAAATTTCGCCGCTAAAAAAAAATCAAAATTTATAATTAAGCGACCGAAATTGCAACCGAATTTAATTCCGTCGCTAAAAAAAATCAAAATTCAAAATTTAGCGACTGAAATAGCGACCAAATTTAATTCTATCGCTAAAAAATCAAAATTTCTTATTTAGCGACCGAAATAGCGACCGATTTTCTAGCGACGACTTATTTTGGGCGCTAAATCGGTCGCTATTTTGATTATTCATAATCGGTCGCTAAATCAGTCGCTAAATAGCGACTGATAAATTTTGGTCGCTATTTTGCAATTTCTAGTAATGTATTGGGTTATAAATATTTGATTATTATTATTATTAAAGAAAAAATATTTTTGTATTAATATTTACATGTATTTTATTAAATTATTTTGAGAAAAATGAGAAGCAGGTGAGGAAGGGTATTAAGTTGGGTTGACCCAGCCTGTGGGAATATGAAGGAAGGGGTTAGTAGGTTAATCCTCAATAGTCTCATTTTGAGATTTCTAAACAAAAAGCAAGAGTTTTGAGGAGGAGTGCTTAGAAAAAATCAGGAACGACTTCCACTACATCAGGAATATTCTAATTAACCAACCGGGTACGAGGAAAAAATGAATCTTTATATGCAGAGTTACATGAGGGAATGGGTAGAGGAAAAGTTCCCTAGGACTTTTAGGAATTTTATATGTTTTCTGTTTGTATATTTAGTAATTTCAATAAGTTCTATGTGGGTTTCTAGCCATATTTTTTATATTGTTTGTTGGAAATGGATGCAAGGGATGTGAGATGAAATGGTTTTGAAAAGTGCTTGTAGGCTAGGGTTCAAAGAAATTGGGATCGGGATGATTGATGCATGTTTTTGGGTAATTATTGTATACTATTGTATTTTTTAGTAAGTATGATAATTTTTGACCAATTAAAATGTAAAAAGGGTGATTGTATGATGAATGTGGGGTTGTGTACGTGTTATTCGTGTTTTCTAGGTTGCAAAAATTCACGATGGCACCGGGCCTAGTTCCTAGCGTCAAGCGTACATTCATAGAATGAATGTAAATTTCCAAAATATTTACGTCGAGTGAAATTAGGATTTCGCCAAGCGTAATTCCTTAAGGAGGTCTCTACCAGACTAGAACACCAGGTGGATCTCTTGGAATTCGGCGTGAGCGAGACCAGGCGCTCTTGGGTTGAGTCTTGCCAGATGAAATTAGAATTTTGTTAGGCGTGAGCGAAAGTAGGAGCTCTCAGGTTGAGCCGCACCAGACGAAATTATAATTCTGTCGGGCGCTAGTTTAAATGGATATTATGGATTTATGATGTGTTTGTTGATTGTTTTATGGGTTAATATGTATGTTTTGGTGAATGTTGTATGTGATGTAAACTAGCTATGAATTGCAAGATATATGTATGATTCTTTTGGTTTATGTGAAAATGTTGGTTTGGGTATATGATATATTAGATTGAATTATGAATGTGGTGTGATGCTTTGGCACAATCGTATATGTGACATGGTGTGGGATGTGAGATGCATCGGCATAGGCGTGTACATGATACGATGCTTGTTATATGATGTTTGGGCATGATTGTATGCGTGACACGGTACTAGATGTGTGATGCATCGGTATGGTCATATGTGTGATACAATGCTGGTAGTGGAATGCATTGGCACAGTCATGTTCATGACATGATGTTGGGCGTGTGATGCGTCAGCATGCGTGTGTACTTGATACGGTGCTAGATGTGTGACACGAGGTATATATGATTTTTGATGAGATAGTGGAATGGGTTGATTCAGAGTTGATGATGTTGAGCATGTCTGAATGATGGCTATTGTGTTTGCATATTATAATAAATTGAGATTATTTCATGAGGATTTCCTATTGTGTTTTGCATATAGATGTCTTCTTTTTTCACTGTACATTTTGTGGTTGTTTTTAGGTGAGGAAATCCATATATGTTTAGTATTCAAGGTGTCAATAACTGAGTCATGGGATTGCTATGATAATGTGACATTGGGGCAAAGGATTTTATAACGTTGATTTCATTGTTATTGGAGTTTATACTCCTTTATTAGTTAAATTTATGAACATATTATATATATATATATAAATAATTTAGATATTGGAAGTATTTTAACTATGAACCATTTTACTCGAGTTGGATAACTATTTCTTTATATTTTTATATTATATGTATTGGGGTAGAATGGGTGTCAGAATTAGTACACTAAATGTATTTGATATAAACCCCAATCAATCAATAGCCTAAAACAACTTACTTAAGAATTTCCTACAGTAGCATTGCACTCTTTTCCACCATTTCACGAGCTAGGGAGCCCAGCTTATAGAAGTCAACTTTTGGAATGTCACTGTAGATATAAAAGTACTAGTTAGAAAAACTACAATAATTATCAGCTTGTTAAAAGAAAACCATGAAATGAGAAATATATTACACATGATGAGAAAGCTCTCAAAAGATCGTGTCTACATCTGCAAAAATGTGTTTCAATCAGTTGCCCAGCACCAATACTTTTCAAAAAATATATCCAACCAAGTTCATCACTAACCCCTACAAGTAAAGGCAAGAAAACACAGTTAAACATGTGAACCATTTTTTGCAACATTGATGC